TATCGTCTAGAATCGATCGCCAAATATTTTCTCTTTTGCCCTCAAGTTAAATTCAATAACATCAACCTGCCTCCTGAGGCTGAGCGATGGCTTCAGATTGCTCAATCAAGACCCCCCCCCCCCTCACGCAATTTTGGAACGGGATACGCGCGGCGGGGCCCCTCTTTGAAAAAATCCGTGGGACAGAAGGGTCAAATTCGGTTTTGGCCGAGTCATAACAGCTGTTATGAGGTTGTTATGCTGGCTGTCATAACAACCAGTGGGAGGTGTTATGAGTGCTATGAGGTGTTATGAGGTGTTATGAGGTGTTATGGTAGGGTGGGCATAACAGCCATAACAGCGATGGAGGTGTTATGAGGTGTTATGAGGTGTTAAGTGTTATGGGGTGTTATGAGCAGCCAGCCATAACAGCCATAACACCTGTTATGGCCGCTCCCATAACCTTGAGTGGGGACAAGACCTAGAGCTAGACGCGGAGTCGTGCGTGCGCAGGGCTCCTCTTTGCTTTCTTCTACTCCCTACACCCTACTATCATCTCGTTCCCGTCCTACTAGAGTACTAGAGCCGTACTCTGAACAGTCTCCCTCCCTCTCGGTCTCGCCCTCGCCCGTGCCTGGATGCGGAGGAGCTAAGACGAAGAGGCCGCGTGCCAGAGTCGGATCCCCCGCAGGAAGCAAACAGCTCCGAATAGGCACGTGGGAAGAAAATATAATGCACATGCGTTGTCTCACTGATTCTCTCCACACACTCTGTCAGTACCACTGGTCGTCGTCCGCTCTACGCACGTACGCAGCACGCACGCACCGCGCCCAGAGCCCAGCGCACCCGCGCCGCCGTCCACCACTATCTATACACATACTCTTGAGGACGGGGAGGCGCGCGCAACCCCAGCCCCGCCACTGGCCGCCCGCAGAAATGGCGATCACGCCCCAGGCGCTGCCTGGTTCCACGTCCTGGCCCCGCCGAGCCGAGGCTTCTCCGCCACGCCGATGTACTCCTTGCCGCCGTCGGCTGCGAGCCGGTACTTGCGGTTCGTCCCCGTCTCGATCCACAGCTCTTCCCCCGTTTTATAGTCAATCGTCGGCCGGTCGCGGTCGCCGCGGTCGAGCCCTCCGTACTTGGTGGGCGCGTCGCCGCCGCCGCTAGCGCCGCCGATCCGAGCGGCAGCCATCTCCTTGGCGACCGCGTCCTCCACCGCCAGTTCAAAGGCCGGCGCCGCGCGCCCGGCTTCGCGCTTCTTCGCCTCCTTGATGTGAGCGGCGCAAAAAGGCTTGCCGCTGATGGGCGCGATGGCGTATCCGCCCTTTAGCGAGCAGCCGCACTCGGCACAGGTGAAGCACGCGGCGTGGTACTTCTTCCCCTCGACCACCAGGCACGGCCCGTCAATCGGGCGC